CTCGACCGAACGACTGTATATTAGGATGTCATCGAAATAGACGACGACACAACGCCCGATAAGATCACGTAGAGTCTGGTTATGATGCGCATAAACGTGCTCGGCGCGTTGGAGAGACCAAACGGCATGACCATCCACTCAAAAAGACCATCTCGGATCTTAAAAGCAGTCTTCCACTCATCGCCCGGTCGAATCCGAATCTGATGGTAGCCACTACGAAGGTCCAACTTGGTGAAAACAGTGGCACCGTGTAACTGGTCCAGTAAGTCATCTAACCGAGGAATGGGAAAGCGATACCTGATCGTGATCTTGTTGATGGCCCGACTGTCAACACACATACGCCAAGCCCCATCCTTCTTCGGAATCAACAGTGCCGGCACGGCACACGGACTCAGGCTCCGACGCACCACCCCTCGTTGCAAGAGCTCCTCCACCTATCTGCGAAGCTCCTCGTGTTCCACTAGGCTTATGCGGTAGTGCGGCCGATTAGGAAGAGAGGCTCCCGGGACTAAGTTGATATGATGCTGGATATCTCTCAAAGGAGGCAACCCTGTAGGAAGGTCGGTGGGAAACACGTCGGCGAACTCAGTCAACAGTGGTTGGATAATGGGTGGGGGTTCGCGATCAGCCGTCCTATCCGAGCCCACAAGTAAAAGACGAAGTCGGCCGACTGCATCTCCTGGACAAAAGCCGATCTCGACAGAAAGAGAACAGGCGAAGCAGGAGGAGGCGACACAGGGCGAGAAGGAGCAGGATGCAAGACAATCTGACGACCGCCAAAAGTAAAACTATACGTATTAAGCCTGCCATCGTGCGTAGCGGCTCGATCAAACTGCCAGGGCCTGCCTAATAACACATGACATGCGTCCATGGGAACCAAGTCGCACCAAACCCGATCCCGATAGGTCGCTCCAATGGACAATGAAAGTAAGACCCGACGATCCACTGTTATAGCATTGCCGCGCTGAATCCATGCGAGAGTGTAAGGTTGTGGATGAGGCTCGCACGTCAGGCTCAACTTGTCAACAGTCTCCTGTGCAACCACATTTTCGCAGGAGCCCGAGTCAATCATAAAGCGACACACCTTGTCGCCAATAGTGCATGTGGACTCAAAAATGTGATGGCGCTCCTTCGTCTCCACATCCAGAGCCCGAGGTGTCAAACACGAACGAAGAATCAAGAGGGTTGTCCCAACATCTCCCCGATGATGCTCCACGTGCACTTCCGGCTCAACATCAAACACGGGCGGTCCAT